TACTATTATCTCGTTTTAATTAATAGCTATTCATTAATCCATTGATTGGCAGTGAAGGGTATGATTGAGAGTGAGTGTAGAGAGAGAGAGAGAGAGAGAGAGAGAGGGAGAGGGAGCAACGAGTTTGACATAAAACACAACTAAATGGTACAGAAATATACGGAAATGAATGGTTTGTGAAATGACTAAACACACAGAGTGTTGTTCTCCACAGAAAACACGTGCGGCGAGACTTGAGTATCGCTGGACAGAAGAGGCAAATGTGTGCGAAACGGTGGCCAATGAAGTAATTTTTGACGTAAAACACAGCGGCAAAGTGGCGATGGGCGCCATCGTGTCGGAGGTATTGCAGCTAGCAAAATTCATTGCACAAAAGGGAGAGGAGATGGCTGCCGCTCAGTTTGCGGCCGGCATAAATGGCCAGCAAAAAATTTACACTAAAAAACAAGAGATCGCCGAGAAGGCCAAAGAGATCGTGCCTGAGCAATGTACGTGTTTATTTGTTTTATATTCATATAATCTATTTGTGATTTGTATTATACAAATACTTATTGTCATATCTGTAATTTATATGATTTGTTTATGAATTGTATTTTATGTTATAAATTATTTTTTATGATTACCAGATAAGTGTACAAAGTGTCCCAAAGAATTCGGCGCACTTCATTGGCTAAATAAGCACGTTGCAAACTTTCATCCGGACAACAGTGCCGACCCGATTGACACCACTTCTCATATTCCACTTTAATATTTTTCATATTTTGCTCCGTTTTTTCTATTCGATAAGTATGTCGACGACATATGTAAAACATTTCAATTACAGATCATAATTAATTTCCTATTTGTTTGTTATAAATACAACTTTTTCATAATTATCATTAATGTTTATAACATTAAACCAATTTAATTAATAATTACTTTATTTGTTATATTTTGTTTGAAAAAAGCAATCATATATTTACAGTATTAAAATGCTTTAGAAATTGAAACAAAATTCAAAATTAAATCACACACAAAGTTATTTGTGGATATTCTGTCATTTAATCAATAAATTTTCAGTTTTTCCTTTTGTTCACTGCTTTTGTTTTTTACTAAAACTTTATTGCCTCCATCGCCCATACCATCGACACCACCGGCCGATTTAGTTGGCCAGTAGTAGTCGGCGCCGCCACCCCTACCGGGGCCGTAGAAACCAGACTTTCCGTTCTTGCATTTGTACAGGTAATTGATTTTGCGTACGTCCAGATCGGACGGGCACTCGTGGCCCCTACACCTCAAATATGGCACCGGCCTCTTGGCCACGATTGTGGCCTTTTTTTTTTGCTGAACGCGTAATGTCTGTAGTGCATGACTGACATCAGGTCGTAGGGGAAGCCGTGATCAGCCAAGTAGTCAATGGTGTGTTTGCGAAAGTTTCGTTTGGCAGCTGTGGGTAAATTTAATTTAAAGTATTTTTAGTATACTGTGTTGATTCAGTGTAAGTGAAGGCAGATTATTTTCTAACAATCACGATATTAATACTTACCATCCTTAATATTGTCCCACATGATGGTGACGTGCGCGTCCCGATTTGGTCCCGACTGTTCGTGTATAAAGCCTACTGAATGCATGAGTTCGTGTACCACAGTCTCCACGCTATAGCAACCTTTGCCCAAAAACAGCCACTAATGCGACCGACATGGGCCGCACATTCCGGCCCTCTCCTCATCCACACGTAGTCTTTGTCGCTTTCCTTTTTGGGCACAAACCGAATGCAAGTCCTGTCCTGCAAAGTCATGATTCCCCGAGCGATGGCCGCCCGCTCTTCCGCCGAGAACTTGTTCTCCATTATGTATGGAATGCGTCCGTTTGGCCATCGTTTCGCCGAATACATGGCCACATATATTCATAATGATCATGGTTATAATTAACGTGTCATTAAAATATTTAGGTGCAATCGTATGTGAAATTTAATAACAAACTAGGTTTGGATTAAGGTAATAATTTTGCAATTATAAACTTATTGTATGTGTTCTAATAAATTATTTCACTATTCATTTGAAAACTTCTCTCTCTCTCTCTCTCTCTCTCTCTGTCTCTCTGTCTCTCTGTCTCTCAATTTTGACGCTTATTTGTGATGTGTTTGGGATGCGATGGGTTTAGGTTTAACAGCGATGGTTATAACATAAGGGGTAATCTCGATAAATCAGGTTTGGTTGAGGTTAATGAGAACGGCGTTAATGGCGTTCCCCTCACACTCTTCTTTGAGCCCAATGTTTGCATCCATTCTTCACAACCCATTCAGTGACCAGAGATGTAGTGACGGATCCGATCTCTACACTCACTCTCAATCATACCCTTCACTGCCAATCAATGGATTAATGAATAGCTATTAATTAAAACGAGATAATAGTATTTGACTTATTGCTTACTTATTATACATTTGATGGCATCAATGGATTCATTAATAATGAATCATTATGTAGACAGCGATTAAAACAATTGGTTGTTGATACATTTGATTGTTGTCAACAGTAGTGCCAAATATATTGCACTTTTTCACATCGATTCTTAGCCATTGAATCCGAGAGTTATTTCTCACTTGCTTTTCGCATAATGCATGTGATCTCATAAACTTATAGATCATATTCCGAGCGCTAAAACCCTAAACCCAATCATTTTTCCAACCGAACCATTTCTTATCGACTATAATATGAGAAATATTTATAACTAATTATAATTATAGTGATGTTCAACGGAAGAGCTCCGAACCGATCCCGCAAACAGACCGCCCGCAGAACTACATCTGCGGCCAGGGATAGGTCACCCTTTCGGCCGGAGAACGATAGCAGCGGATACGCGTCCGATACTTTGTTACCACTGCCAACACTGGCCACCCGACCAACCATTAACAGCCCATATTCATTTGGCTCACAAATCAATGAACGCCAACAACAGGACCAGCCGTTAGAGTCGGCCAAACAGATGCCGATGGGTTCATACAGTGAAGACAAAGGCAGGACGACCAGGGAGTTGATGGACAGTCGCCGACGGTTGGCCAAAATGGAGGCCAAAATGAAGACCAAAATGGCCAAAATTTCGTCTCAGGGGCAACTGATTAAAGCTTATAAGCAAAACGCAAACGCCTTACACACTAGCGTAAGTCATTTTTGGTTTTCAATTATTAGAGAGAGAGAGAGAGAGAGAGAGAGAGAGAG